GATCTGGCACTGGGTCTGTTTATATGGATGGAGAGGATTCTCCTCCTGCAGCTTACTGGGATATGTGATGTTGATATCACAGCAGGTTGCAGAAGAATGAAACGTTATTCCTACCTAGGTGAGAATAGCAGCAGCAGGTTGGGCTGCCTACAACTCTGGGATCACTTATAGCACAGTACTGCAATGCCTCTACAATACTCTGGTATCACAACCACAACTCATGCTGTTTTTCCCTATGAGCTAATTTTAGCTAAAACCAACACAAACATTAAGCCATTCACACACGGCGCGGCGATCCGGGATGTCCTGGGACTGTGCAATCGTATGGAGTTGCACACAGCGGTTGCCGGTTGATTCCAATGGGGTTACATCCACACGGCAATCACAAAAAACAAAAAAGGTACATGTACCTTTTGTGCGACACACACACGCAGCTTTTTATCACCGCCAGCGCGATGAGCGGTGGTGTGCGACTCCGTGACGGCAATCCTTGCAGTTTTGTGCACGAGTGCTGTGCGGTCACGGCTTGTGCAAGTGTGAACCTGGCCTTAGCATTTTCAGGCTGTTTTATTAGGTTTTTAGGCATTTTCAGGCTTGAGCATGTTTGATTAAGCCAATGGAAAGCTAGTTACTAGTAAGAAAAGTTGGCATTAGATGCAAAATTGAACAATAAATGCATGTTGCAATTGTTTTTCAGGAGCTTTTATTGAAGTCTATTGCTCCAAAAATGTGTGATTCTGCTTAAAGAGAAATTCATATTCTTTTTCAAGCTACAGGTAATGCATAGTTAGTCAGGTTGAAAAAAGACACATGTCCATCGAGTCCAACCTATAGAGATAGTCCAAGCTTATAGAAATGCAATGCTCGTGTGAACAGCCAGCACTGAAAATAATGGGATTCCTATGTTGATTGTTGTTGCATTTCGGGTAATATGCGACAAACTCTCAGGTAAAATGGGGCTTAAAAAATGAAAAACTCCCCTTGCATTGGGGCTACCAACCCACCCAGATCCCCCCATACTGGGAGGGTTAACTGTTTTTTTTTTTTTTTTTGCTCAAGGACCAGTATACAGCACATTTAATTACCTGATCCCAGCAGGCTCCAGGATCAGCGTCTGCAACCTATTGCCCCTGACACCACTTTTCTATGTGAGGGTGCCAAGGGACAGTCCAGGAGCCAGAGAGATCAGTGCCAACTACTGGGGAGCAGGTACACCATGGGGGTAGCTCTGCTGCAAAGGGAAGATTCCTCAGCCCCCTAGCCCTAGAGATAAACTTTAAAGATCTAACGTTTTATTTTCCAATGAAATGAACAGTATTGGATTTCCTCGGATCACAAGAGAAGCAACATAACACTTCAGAACTCTGGAAGAACATCTAAAAGCAGCTTTTGTAGTAGGTCATCTACACCAACCTGGCAAAAAGCGAGACAATTCAAGAAATACACAAGCAACATTCTTATAAGCCCACAATAAACTGTGCTGCCTCTGCCTGCCCTTCCTGAAATAAAATACAAAGCCGTGTATAGCTAAATCCATAAGGAGGAGCGAGAAGCGTGCTATGACATAATACACAGAACACTCATCACCTGTCCGAGCTTTTCAAGGCAGTGTGTGACTTCACTCTGAACGGCTTACAGAACATGATTGAAGACTGAAGACAGAGGAATCAGAATAAAAACAAAAATAAATAAAACTGTGTCAAATAAAAATCAGCTATGGCAGGGGAACCATCATTTCCGGTCCGTTCTCAAGTGCTTTCCGTCTGGAAACTACGACTTCCTGCAGAATGTGCCCTCTGCCTTTCTTGTAGTGATGCTGTGTTTTTGATTCTGTAGAGAAGGAAGTGATAGCGTTCAGCTGACAGGAAATATTCACATCAGAACAAGACCTGGGGCATTTGCTGTGCTTAGAAATATGATTGTCCAGCAATAAAATAGAAATGAAGACAGGGGGTGGGGGAAGTACACAGTATTTTAACCTTTTCACTGCCAAGTCCTTTTTCGAAGAGATGTTATAATCCACATTTTAAGCCTGAAAAATACTTAAACATTATATCATTTCTGGAAGCAAAGACCCTGTTGAATACAATGGTGGCAGCTGCAAATTTTTATGTCTCACAATATTAGCCCAACTCTTTCTCAAACCCCCAAAAATTAGTAGAAAATGCACTTAAGTTAATTTTAGTGCCCAAAAGCACAATATAATACCCATTTTTTGTAAAAATATAAAATATGAGGTTAGGAAGTAAATTGATATGTAACATGCCCATGTTAAAAATTGTGTGCGTCCTTGAAACAGTCACAACATACGGCGCCCCAAATTGCCCATAGGCAACGCTTTAAAAGCCCATACAGGTCATCAGTTTAGAGATATCTGTGAATATTGGTCCTAGAATTATTGCTCTCGCTCTGACGCACGTGGTGATACCTAACGTGTAGCGCAATCATCATTTTCATATGCAGCCAAGCAATTACAGCTGAGGGACCGGAAGTGATTCAATCAGCATTACTTACAGTCCCATAGAGCAGGTAGTATGTTCATCTGTCTCCTTCCACGCTTCCCATCGACACCTGATATGCCACTCCCAGGTCAGCAGGAGGGGCAGCAGAGCCTGGGAAGCAAGGCTGGGGTCCCCGGTCGGAGGGGGGGGTGCATTTCACCGACCTGTGGAAACGATCTGGTGGCAAAATCGCTTCCAGTATAAAGCCGACAGTCGGATTTACACATGTAAATAGAGTACTGGAAGGAATCTATTTAAAGGGGCCCGATGCCAGCAACATATAACATACATCAGTGGTAGCAAAAGGGTTAAGGGCTCACAACATAAGCAGTGACTGGTGTTTTTCAGCAATGAAACAATGCCAGTCACTAGTAGGGTGCATAGAAAACAATTGTTTTCTGTGTTCCTGTTTCACACGACAACGTTGGTGGTATGTGATATGCTGTAGAAAAAAAAGTAGACTTGCTGCATTTTTCTGCAGCGTACTGGACAGCACCGCAGGCACACAGCACACTGCTCCCCTGTGTAGAGACTGGAACAGAGTGTGCACTCATTAAAGTTAAAAAAGTAAACAGCATGATGCACCAAAACAGTGCTTACAGAATATATCCGATACTATATTGTTTATTTAGATTTTTCTACTAGCAAAAGTGTGACTGTTTTAGAATGGGTAAGGTTAGGCTGAAGGGGGGAGTTTTATGTCAGTTTGCTTGTTCTAAGACCAAGATTGTGCATACCGGTACACGGAAGCAGTGCAATTTTGTAAAAGCGCTACCACACATGCATGTGGTATTAGAACAATTATGGTTTATCCTGCACCATCTTTTCCTTTTTTTTGTAGACTAGCTAAGCCCACCCACAACAGGTGCAATTTTGACTCCATCCCTGCTCCATTTTTTAACCCAAAGAACCTCTACAGGGCCATCGCTATGGAAAAATGCAGTTGCACATGCCCCATGGCAGTGCCCTCTTAAAGAAGTCTACTTTCAACAAAGATCAATTTTCTTGACTCTTCTTGGTCTGGTTCTGGTGTGTGTAATGAATGATGACCTTTAGGAAGGTTTAACAAAGGCGCCCACAGCTCTGAGCTCTTTGTTAGCTATGCTGAACTCTTGATATGCGGCTGCTTCTAGAACTGTCTTATGCCTTCCTGATGAAAACACCATCATAAGACATAAAACGCATTGGGGGGCATTTAGCAAAGCAATTGCGACAGTTTTAGCCTCTTAGATCATTTCTTTTATGTGCAAATCTGTCTTTTAAGATGTGCCCCTGTTTTGAGCTGAGGAAGCGTTCTATGAGGAAGCTTTCATGGATATATTTATTGAGAGAGAGAGAGACAGAGAATATATTTCTTGATACAATATTGTAAATTCTTGTTTTTTTGTCAGAAGGCACCTTAAAAACCACATGTACCCCAATCCTGATTTATATTCTATTGATGAGCGGTGTGGTGCCAATCACTCAGAGGTCTTTCACAAAACCTTCTTGTTTACTTTTGTACCCCACGGTCCCTCTGTGTGTTGTAAAGTTCCTGTGATGGACTACAATCTCATGTTTAGTTTACTAAATTGTAGAGATTATAGTCCATCACAGGAGTGAGTTTGGCGCGGTGGCTTCTTTACAACACACACACGGACCATGGGGAACAAAAGTAGCCACCCTCCAGAATGAAGGACAGTGTCAGCACCAATTCAGAGATGATTCGATGATCTACAGCTGAGTGATACACAAATAAGATGCATTTTTTACAGATTATTTTTGACATGCTGTATGAATAGGAAGACATAACAAATTTATAGAGGTTTTTTTTTTTTTTTTAAATATGACAGCAAAAGTGGAACTATACTTTAGGTGTAACTAGCTGCTGAGCTGGGGGGGGTCAGCCCCAGAGAACCTTATAGGAAGCTATGGTAAAGCATGGCGAATACAATGCAGATTGGACAGCTGGGATGTAAACACACAGCAGGGGATTTATCCAAATCTGGAGCAGCTGTGCATGGCAACCAATCGGCTTCTCTGTTCAGTTACGATTTGGAAATGAAACAGAGAGGCTGATTGGTTGCCATGCACAGCTGCTCCAGTTGTGATTAATTCCTTTCACTGAGTGCTAGGGCAACAACTGGAGGTAAATACACGAGGAGAAGGATGAGCAGCTCAGCAGAGGAGCCATGCCATTATCCTTTACGTTGTATCATAGAGAGCTTTGCCAATAGAGAAAGTGAATTACTCCATCGGGGACAAAGGCATCGGCACAAACATGTACATCCGTTACTCGACTGCACGTCACTTCTCCCTGGGAACTTTCCCATAACTAGGCTCCGCCCTTCCCTGCTCGATGAAGACCCCGCCCGGATGAAGGCCCTCCCCTTTACAGATTAGCATTACAGTACGAATAAACTTTTTTTTCCCACCCTGTAATGCACCGCCTTGACAATTGGCCCCGCCCACGTGGCTGGCCCCGCCCGTTCGGCCTCTGTTTGGGTTGTGTACGGATGGCAAATCTCCGTGTGTCAGGTGTCTAGGACGGGCCGGGCAGGACGGGGTGTCAAGCGGATGAGCCCGAGCGGTGTCGGGGATGGATCACAGGCGGCGGCTGTCGTTGCTTCTGTCCCGGTGGCAGATATGATGCTCCTTACCAGGAAGCCGGAGGGCCCGATCACAGCAGGTATGTTGGCTCTATGTTTAGCCTTCCACTGTGACCTTATATAGATCTGTTGTAATCATAGCACAGGGAATGCGGTCGCCTAGGAGTCGGCTGTGTGTGTGTGTCATTGATTCACCCGTTGGGCATTTGGTAAGAGCAAAGTAGAAGTCTGAACGAGGCTGCATGTGGATGTGACATGATTGTGTCCTGATTAGTATGTGCAGTACGATATTAGGGGCACTGTACATGGTACAATCTGATCATACAGCTGGTGAATGTGTGCAATACGACTTGATGTGTGAAAAGCATGTGTCCTGCTTTTAGTGATGGTACCCAAGATGCATGTGCAAAAAATGTGCAAAGCTTGCAGCTCGAACAGCTGCATGAGTTCCTTTTCTAGGCATAGGGCAGCCCATTGACAGGAATGGGCTGCTCTATGCAGACGAGGGGTCAAGGAGGCCTTGAGCTGCCCACACACACATTACAGTCTGATTGTGCAATCTTCTTTAGAGTCCATTCACACCAGGGCGGTTGCGGATCAGGGTGGTTAACACGCTGATCTCGCAAGGGAGGTTTTGGGAGTTTTTAATTGTGTTTCAGCGCTGAAACGCAATTAAAAACGCCCAGAACCATGCTGATCAGTGCGGTTCCATGGAAACCGCACTGATCAGCGTGGCAAAAATAGTGCAAGGAGCATTTCGGGCAGTGGCGGTTCGGATCAAGCTGTCCCATGAACGGTCCCCATAGCAATGTATGGGATCGTTCATGTCGGCGGATCCGTGCTGCCGAACCGCCCCGGTGTGAACGGGGTCTTAGATCTGCCAACAAGTATGTACCACAAGGGTCTACCTGATTGGATGCATATAGATTAGGTAGGTCCTTGTATTATGTACAGTCAGATTGTAACATGTATGGCTAGCTTCAGATTCCTCAAAACTATGTAATATGAGATCCTACCAGTGACATGCGGTACCTTCCGTGCTGGGTGAGGCATTCCCCAGCACGCTGCACCCTCAGCCCCCCCAACCCGGTCGCCAAGCTAGTGGGAGGGAGGAGCCTCCCTGTCCCTCACTTGCTCGTCCCTGGTAAGGCATCAAGATCGATGTCCTCAGTGTTTTGTTTTTTTCCTTTTTTTGATTGGACAGCTTGGACCAATGGCGTTTGCCATTGGTCCAAACCATTCACAGAGCTCAAGCTTTTAACACAAAGTAGAGGCTGTTGCAGCTCATGCCTCACTATGCCCGGGGAAGCCCGCTGCTGTGTAACCTAACTTAGCTGTCAAAAGCCGAATGCAGCGCCGCCTGTAATTAACAGGCAGCGCTCCATCCATGACAGGTTACACAGCGGAGAGGCTTTCCCCGCTGTGTAACCTGTAACAAGCCCCCTCTGAATGAAGAAAAAGCTGTCAGCTTTAGACTTGAAGCTGACAACGTTTTCCTCCATAATACTAGATGAGGCTCTGCCTTCCCTGACCGCACATCCCTGGATCCCAACTAGTCTATTCAAACAATCTGTATCCAATCAGGCAGTCCCTTGCATTACATTCTTGTTAGATCTATATCTGACCCACACATGTCACAATCTGTACAATCCCCTTTAGATCTACCAGCAACAATGTCGTTTCAGGGCCCAGTCAAACCATATCTAGTGCGTCCCAGTCCAGTTCATGCCCGGAACGTATAGATCAAGCCGGGCCGGGAGGGGGCGTGTTGATGCCATTCATGTCAATGGCACCACAGACATGCTCCCCCCCCACCAGAATGCGAGGTACAGGAATCCGGTGCAGTGCAATCTGAAAAAAATGCTGCAAGCACTATTTTTAAACCACTCCCTATTAGAAGGATTCCCAGCTGCTGTAGGAATGAGAGTCTGTTTTACAGGTTCCTGTTGCTGCTGACGTAAGCTTTGGGTCAGCGACGGGGATAGACCTAAAAAGGCATTTGTAAACAAATGGCTTGGATAACAAAAATGTACAGATCGCGTTCTCAAATGCTTCTAGGGGGTACAGGTGATGTCACCGTGCCTTCCTGCAGAGCTGGAAGCTCCAAATCCCCCAACAAGGCAATCAAACCCATAGCAAGAGTACATTGCAGGATTGTGCTATCCCAGGAGGCAGCGGTGACGTCACCCGTTCCTCCCAGAAGAGTTGCAGTGCAAGCTTATGTATATTTATACACTTTGTAACTACAGCCGGTCCTAAAATTCTTTGTTGTCCAATCAGCGGAAGTCACTGTTCAAATATTCTGACAGCGGCACACAGGCTGTCAGATAACAACAACCCAGCAGGGGGATTCCCCCATCTATGCTGTTTAGTGTGGATGGGGATATCGAGCGTTCTAGAAATCCCGCTGTGAGTGACATCACTAGGCCATGGGACTGCAAGCCGCGTTCTTTTGATGGTTTCACAATACAATCGTTTTTACACTACGTGTTGCGTTTAGTGCATGATGGTGTCTTTTAAATGCATTTGAATTGACATGCATTTACATCATGCATTTTTTTCATATCATGTTGTGTACTTTATTCTGTTTTCCTTAGGCTTTGGCAATGTGCCCCGTTCTCACTACAATGTAGTGGTGATGTGTGACAAAATGCAGACGTGCCGTCTTGTCACTGCAGTGCATCGTACCGTGCTGTTGTGAGGAGCCAGGAGAAGAGTGTAACTTTGTACCCTGTCAATAAAGTAAAAAAAAAAAAATGTGATTTTGCTGAAACAGCCCATTGTAACCCACCCACCGCCCACACACCAGACCTCATGTAGGCACTTGCTGGCTAAAAGGGCTAATGCCAACAAGCTCTTAGCATGAGGAATAATTACTAATGATTTGTGGGGGCTTGGTGCAAACCCAGTTCACCCAAGTCTGCGCAAAACGGTCATGACTATCCCCCCACCAGTGGCCGTACACGTTACAAAGGGTTGGGGAACGCCTCTGCAACAATTTATTTGGCCCTTGAGGCGGTGCGTCGGTTACACTTTTGCATGAGCTGTGACGAATTCCGGAGACTTGGGTTCACACCAAGCCCCTGCACATAATTACATAGCGAGCGCGCTGTGTGTTAAACGTTCGTGAGCTATGGCCACTGCTTGGATAACATGTCCCCCTCTGCCCACCCCTATGCCACTACTGTGTCCCGTAATGATAAACTGGCGAGCAGGGGAACCACAGAAGGCACATGTTATCCGAATTACCCAGAAGTGTTGGATAGCAGCTACTGTAGCTCGTGAAGATTGAACACTGCCTGGTGTAGGTTCAGATTTATGTTGCCTGAGAGGCTTGATGCATGCTTTGGAAGATTGGTTTTAAAGTGTATTTCGAGTTTTGCCGCCAAATTGGTAAGGTAGGGAGACTGGGTGGGTCTTAAAAAATTATTTTTTAAATTAAATATATTTGAGTGTGGATGTGTGTGTGAGAATGCCTATTAGTGTGTGAGGATGTGTATGTATGTCAGTGTTTTTGAGGGCTCGTTCACACTAGTCCCATGCGATTAGCGCACTACCACGCAATGACACCTACCGTGCGTTCTGGTGGGGGAGGTGCGTTGGGTTGCTATTCATTTGAATGGTACCCCAAACACAGCTCATACGCCTGCACTGGAACGAGCGGTACCCTAATTCCGTGCATTCCATTGCAGTGCGAATTGGGTCGCAACTTAATGACCAAGGACAAATGTGGGTCCTGAGGTTACACAGGTTGAGAACCACTGTACTTTCCTCTTGAATGTAATAGTGGTGGGGGAAGGTTAAGGGGTAAGTTTTTTTGTTTTTTTGTTTTTTACTTTTTGGATAATTGTTCATGTTACAGCCACATTCAAGGTGAAACATGAAACATGGTCCCCCCCACTTACCTGAACCACTGGGTTCTTCTCCCTGCAGGCTCCTGCCACAATTTTAATTTTGCCGGTCAGAACCTGCACAGTCGTGTCATCCATCAGGGGTGCGCAATTTTTCTACATTTGACCCTGCGAGGCAGGGGATCCTCCTCTCGATTTTGTAGCAGCCTGCTTGTTCCACTTGGTTTTCTGGGTCCTCCACTCTTCTGGGGTACCCGGGACAACAGCAAATGACTTCAGGATGCAGGGAGCAGACCTGTCACCTCCAAACGCTATCACATAGGGGCTTATAATCCCCTGTGTGATAGTAATAAAGTTAGGTGAAAAGAATATATATACTTGCCTTTTAGTGAATGGTTCTCTACCTCTGCTTGTACAGGTGTACTATCTGTACCCTGTACTGTCGTGCAGCGCAGCCCTGCACCATGAATTTTGAATTTCGCTTTAAAATTGCAAGCACCTGACTGCGCTGAGCAATGAGTAGAGTTTCTTAGCACGTTTAAATACGGTTTTGGTTAAGATTATTTTTTGTATCACGACAAGTAGATTGTCATGAGGGACAAGTAGATTGGATTTCAATTTCCACACCCCTGCATCCATTCACAAATGCTTTGATAGGATCTGTGAATGGAGACACTGCAAGCCCCATCTTCCAATGGAGTACATGTGTGGGGATGTCACCATACTTGTAGTCCATTCATACTTCCTCCTGTCCCTGTAACTGAATGTACCTCAATATGTACAGGGGCTGGGAGGAAAAGTCTGCAGGAGCCAGATCATTGTACCCGCAATCCACTGATCGTATTTGCAATGCTTTGCAGACTGAAATGCAAAAAAAAATAATACATTCACATTTTATTTCTTTTAATGTGTGTGATATTTTTTTTTCTCAAAACCTGGATTATGCCTTTTAATGTTTACTCTAATTAACCCTGCCTGTACCGTGCTGGCCGATGTCATTATCAGTTGTGAACTAGATTTGAACACTGCCCCAACAAAGGGTTAAATTCTAGAAGCATTGTATGTTAATGAGAGGCAGCTCAGTGTGTCCCTAGTATTTCCATAGGGACACTCAGTTTCCTATCGCTTTCAAATTGTAGAAGTTTGTAGTCTATCCAAAGGCTGGGCTGGGTGCTTGGAATTTGGGTTTCAGGTTCCAATTCCCCTCTCTCCTCCATGCTGTCTTCACT